CTTCTAGTCTATTTTCACAAAATCTAAATTCAGAAAGAGAAATACGTAAAAATTATATTAATAATAATGGTCCTATTCAATTGTTAATAGAATCAACAAATATATCAAATGATGCTAAAAAGGAATTTAACAAAAGACGATTAAAAATATTAGGTGAAGAAATTCCAGAAATACCAGATCCAATATCTGAAAGTTCTGATAACTTTAATAAACTTGAAAAAGAAATAAAAAATATTAAATTATCTGACATATTAAAATTAGTTGATAATAATGACATTTATCAAAAAATTATTAAATCTAATTTATCTGAAAAAGATATTTCAATACTACAAAAATTAAGAAAAGAACAATTAAGTAAATTAATAGAAAAACAATATAATAAATTAGAAAATATAATAAATACTTCAAAAGATATAGATGAATTAAATGAATTAAAATCTATAATTGATGATTCATTTTTATCTGAATCTCAAAAAGAAAAATTAGAAAATAATCGATTAGAAAAAATTGAAAATCTTAAACCTATTGAAAAACCAGAAAGTGTTTTATTTAATGAATTAAAAGAACAAATTGAAAATATTGATTTATCAAATGCAGAAAAATTACTTAATGTAATGATTTATATCAAACAATTACCAATTCAAATTTACCATCAAATGATATTGCTGATTTAGAAAATTTAAGAAATAAAAAATTAAAATAATTAACAAATAAACAATATAATTATTTTGAAGATTCATTAAATTCATTAGAATCTGAAGAAGATTTAGAAAATTTAAAAAATCATGTAATAAATAATAAATTATTACTAAGAAATCAAAAAGATGATATTGTAAATTTGATAAAAAATAAATTAGATAAAACAAAAGGAGAAGAAAGATTACAAAAGGAAAATAATAGAAAATATAATACAATCAAAAAAAATATTAATAAATTTTTAACACTAGAAACTCTTGATAAATTTATTATAGAAAATATAGATTCTTTAAATGAACAATATTTAACTGACAATAGAAGTAAAAACAAATTAAATGAAATCTATGAAGAAAAAAGAAAATCATTAATACATCAGTTTGAAAAGGAGAAAAATGAATAATATAATTCTTTAATTGAAGATATTAAAGATTGTAATGATCTATATTTACTATCAGATGAATATTATAATAAAATATATCGTAATATTGAAGATTTAAATGAAGCTTATCTTTTTAAAGATAATACAAAATCAAACTTACATCAAATTAGAGAAAAAAGAAAAGATGAATTAGAAAAAGAAGATATATAAATAATATGTTTTTACTTTATTTTTTTTTTAAATTATTATTAACAATTGTTAAAATGGATAATGATAATGATTGGTTAGATTTTTTTAATAAAGAAAATATTCCTGAAAAAAATCAAGATAATTGGCAATTTTCTGGTTTAACTATTGAAGAATGTAAAATAGCAATAAATAATGGATGGGATAATGAAAATAATAATTTAATATTAAATTATTACATTAAACATCGAAATTTTAAAAAAATAAATGTTTTAAAAATAAAAAAATCTGAATTAAATAAATCACTTGATATTCTTGATAAAATTAATGAAAAAAATAGAAATACATTTAAATCATTACCTGAAGATTTTGAAATAGATAATATAAATAATTTAGATGATGAATTTTTACCACGTGGTGCAAAAAAAGAAGATCTCTTAAAAGCTATTAGAAATAGAAGAAATACATTTCAATATAAAATAAATGAACCTAATAATGAATATAATAATGATGGTTTAGATCCAAATGAATATAAAAAAATATTAAAATCACTTGATGAAACACCAGAATGGAAATTTGAAAAATGGAAAAAGAAAGTAACACCAGAATTCTTGAATAAATTTTTAGATAATTTTCTTCAAAGAAAAGGTGATGAAAATTTAGTAGAAAAAAATCTTGATGGATGGTTAAAAGGTGAAGATCCTTTACCTAACCAAGATAAATTAAAAGGATATAGTTTAATTGAAAAACCTGAAAAAAAAATAAAAGTAGCTGAAATAAAAAATTCTAAATTTACTGGAAATATTAATGAAATTACAATATCTGGTGCTGAAGTTATAGAAAAAGAAGCAGAACTTGATAAATCATTAGCTGGTACATATTTATTACCATATGTTTTTAATTTAATAGAATTTGATATTGAAGCATTAAAAAATAATGAAGATGATAATTATAACTCAAATAGTTTTGCTAAAATAAAAGATACTACTGTAAAACTCAAAAAAGGTGGTGAATTAAAACTTAAAATAGTTGATGTTGATGGACCAGGAATTCTTCCTATTCTAACAGGTGGTGGTAAAACAACTAAAGTAGTAAGATGTTTACTTACATGTATTTTTCCTGGAAAACATATTATATTGATAACACCAAATGAAGAATTAGCAGCCGATGCTGAAAATCATCATAATACCTGGTTACAATATAGTAATGGGATTCCTTACAAATGTGTCATACATGGAAAACAAGGAGAATTACCATATATAGTAAAAAATGGAGAATTAGCATCATGGAATAAATTAATTGGATATGATAATGATGATAAGGGTAAACCCAATAAAAAAAAACCAAAATATGAAAAAAAATCTAGTGCTGATCCAGGAAAATCAACATTATCAATATTACAATTACATCACTTAGTTAGATATATTGCATGTGAAAAAGTAAATATTGATGAATTAAAAGATCCTAAAAAAAATTATGATGATTTCAATGAAGCTTTAAAAGAAATAAAAGAAAAATTAATAGATAAAGAAAATACTATTATTATATTTGATGAAGCACATTTT